TAAAATTTTCAAAGCTTCCAGACTAAGCCATTGATAAAACTTTAAATAGTTCCCTCTTTTCATAGTTCAAAGTTGAATGATGAGAGCGTTCTGTTTAAAATTCTTTATCCTTTATCAGATTTAGCTGGAGTTATGACAGACCAATCTAAGTTTGGTATTTTAGCTCGTTTCTTATGTGAGAATTAGTCTTGACAACATTTTATCATGTTGCAATGTCTTTAGAGATTACTTTACTTTAACTATCTTCGTTAAAACGTTAGAAAGTTTTGGCTATGCGATCAGTGATGTAATTTCCTTTATAGCGCCTAGTTTTGCAAATCACGTATTGTCCTAGCCGCCATATTATTCTCTTATCTAACAATACATGCCTACTGAGTTGTTATACTTCGGAGAATTACATCAATTGCATTGCAATATATTGTACCGCTTGATAAACTGTGATGTGTTAACCTCTTGAGTCTTGTAACATAGAGCTCGAGTTACTAACACTAGTAATACTAATTTGTGGATGTTTTTTAATAATAATACTGTAGATCACAGTTTTCGCATGTGTTCACCGTTCATCCTAAGCCTGGAAGAAATCGCTGTTAGCAGCGATAAGGCTATATATTGTTATTTTGTAGTTTTGTTTGTAATTTGTATTGTAGAACCGTAAATAACACGGAATAACTGTGCATGGTATTTCAGTAATTCCATTTTTAGTATGCTGTGATTGCATGTTCTAACATTTTGTAGTGTTTGACGCTTTTATATTAGTTTAGTTTAAATGCGTCAATACTAGCTGTTACAGTGTCAATCACTGCATTCAGATTCCAAAGGCGCTACAACAAAACTGAAAGTCATTGTTGTGCATCAGTGCGTACTGTATGCATTTATGATTTTCAGGACACACGTAGTTGCATGCTCATTACTGCTGCTACTTTTTTGCTTTAACATTGCACACGTTTCGAAGAGAGTGTGATGTTTGAGTAATTTATTAGTATAGATTTTATCTGTTGTACATGCTTTAGCTTTACCAAGTAGAGATTATTTAGTCATCTGTAGCGAACGAATCATTTATCTTGATATTCAGAATCTAATCTGACTTCCAATATTTTAACGAGGTGCAGCAACAAAACGCTTATTACTGAGCTGTAATGACTACCGAAACTAGTAGAAATAAATATTTGATGAAAATACGCCGCCGGGGTCTGACTCACGGTATACATTCACACCTCTACAATTACTGTTAATAAACAATGAAGCTTAAGTGAAGCTATGCTGGCTTCACCTGTAATCAATTCACAACCAGATGGTCACTTCTCGTGCTCTAAACACGAAGCTAAATTACTTCTAAGTCCATCGACTTTTACTAACAGAAGTGTAAGACCTAAAAGCTCAGGTATACAGTAATGGAAGTAGTACAAATGTGTTTCCCCAACTATTCTCGCAGCGCAGTATAGCTTGCGTGCTTCGTCGCTCGATTTATAATTCAAATGCAATCCTTTCGATCGTTGTAACTGTTAGGTTCGGGTGAACACGAAACTCTTTGTATTTTCCTCACCATTTACTACAAATGCTTAGTCTGTATTTTCCCATGCTCGATTAAGTAATGCATTTTTGTTACTAATTGGTCCTAGAATAGAAATGTTTTTATAACATCTTTTATCTGAGCCGTAGCAGATTGAAACAACACGCACCAAATAATCTGTTCCCATTTTCTTGAAACCAATTTTCTCACAAGAAAAAACACAAATAAATACGAATTTTGTACAGTTTCTGCGTGGCTAGTAACAAATGACTAGGCTTTCAATAAGCCCTAGGCGTTTCGCGTTCCCAATACACCATCTTTTACTATGGCACAGCCTGTGTCACAGAGATAGGGAACCCGGGTTTCTTAGCCAATGGCGTGAAAATATGATTGATTCACTTTCAGATCCTTGGCAACCCTCATACATCATACTGGTACTCACGTCAAATTCGCTTTAGATATTTGGTAGCTAGAGAACACTTGACTAAGCTTAAGTGGCTTGCTACAGAATAGATAGTTCGGTTAAGCAAACACGTGTTCGACGTAATTTGTTGCTACTTATTTTTGACAATGGCGTCTCTGGTTTCGAGGTGGTCGTGATATGGGATAAAGACTACTTTTTTCCCACCAACTAATCATTATTAACCGTGGTCTGTTGTGGTGGTACTCGTACTTAGTGTGCGCAATGTCTACAAAACGAGTACCTACCTTTTTTTAAAAAAATATTGTTTTGTGGTTGTGTCTCCATTATGTAATCAACAACTTACATTAGTTAATCAAATTAGAGATATAATTTACAATACAATACAATACAACAACTTAATTAGAGATATTATTTACAGTTACTTACAATTAGTTCCTTAGAAACAAATTATTCCATAAACCGTACATCTTTCATAGAATTATTCTTTGGTATAAACAAGTCTGGAATAAAATTAGACCCTTTTCCTATAAACGAAGGTAGAATATACAACGGCACGTGTCTACATGAGTTGGAGTTTTCCATTCGTCTTCGTCCATACGTAAGCACGCGTGGGAAGAGAAAAATGGTATGGAAAAATTACGCTACTAAAGCTTACATCTAAACTAAAATGAAAATAGTATTTTCATTCTGCTTAAAATTCAGTCCGATACAAAATAAAGCATACATGTAAATAATATGACTGGTAAACTATCGGTATTATTCAGACCGGTACGAAAACATATTTCGTAATGCAATTTCCATAATCTTATGGTAATTCGCGATTTGTCTCGCCAGTCACCATGAACTCGGTACCCACGTGTAAGACTGTTGACGTGAGTGATGTAAATCATGCCTTCGTTCCTGTCTGGCTTTGCCATGTGCAATGTGCTTATGACGCCATTCATAGGCTGTTGAATGACGATCATAAAATTCCCAAAAATGGCCTAATTGAAGCTGTTTTTTGGTTGTTAGTTATGTCTATCTGATGAAGACAATCGTCAATTACGTCTTCACCTTACATAGCATTTTTAAGTGTATAAATAACTAAGAAATGCCTTTTATGAAGAGAAAATTACTAACTTTGATGATTTTAAGTATTATGGAAGCCTATGACAAAATATCTAATTTGATTCCAAGATTACTGTTGCACAAGCACCGGTGACAGGTTACGCGTCTGCAATCATCAGAGTATTCAGTTGACACTTACATAACTAGGGAAATAAGACAACTCTTACGAACACATGACTTCCTAGTACCTTACAAATTCGCGGAGAACCTAACGGGTAACCGGGGCTCCGGCTCGACGTGCAGGAGAAGGAACGGGGTGGTTTTTAGTCAGTAAGAGTCTGACACTCCCTCTCGCCTCAGCCAGGCGGGAGCAGTCATTCGATAATTTTCCCCCGTTAAAAAAAATGTACCTTACAAAAATATCTAGCTGTAGTTGTTTTAAGTGATTTTCTAAGTTAGTATTGAAAAGTGCGTAAAATAGTTAATTAGTTTTTCTAACGCAACCCTCATTTGCATAGGTCGGTCGTTTACGTCCAGTGGTCATTTCATCACAGTTTCCATTATACGTTCATTCACTGTGGCTTAGCTACGCATTAAAACTTGTACGTGAGATGTTTTATACGTGGGTGTTTAAGTATAGACTAATGAATTACATTAGTATTACGCTTTTCCCTGAAGATTAGAAGCTTTTTGTTAGAAAATATAGACCAAGTGTCGAGGCATGGGAGTCATAAAGTCAACGGCGAGCTACCCGTAACTCAAAAACAGAATCTTTATTTTTTAAACGAATATGAGTTTTTAATTAAATAAAAAATTATTTAAACGAATATAAGTTTTTAATTAAATAAAAAAATATTTAAACAAAATTGGACAGATGAGGGAAGCTTGATGTGATGGCATCAGTACAATGATTTATTAACCCGATTAACTGTAATGGCGGATGGAAAAGCGCGGTAAATTGACAAATGTCATGTCGCCTTATTGGGATGTATTCTGTGTCTATGGATTGTACACAATGTTTTTAACGCTCCGATTAACAATGACTTTACTTATCTCCAACTAAATAAAGTAAAAGTTTGTAATTAATTTGTAGCCCAGAGGAATCCTCGGTACGCTTCTATAAATAATAAAGCGTGTTGTACAGTATATAATAGATTTTGTTTCTAACTTTTAATTGGTGTGCCGGGCTCATTATAATTGATACCAGACTTATTTAATATGATTTTAGTATCAATTTTCTTTGTTTTATTTATCCTAAGCTATTCTGGTAAGCATCCTACACGGTTTTCCTCCCTCTTCCTTTGTCAACTGTAGTTTCCGGACTTCCAGGTCCACGATCATATATACTAATTATTATCTCATTGTGTGTCTTAATATCAAAATCACAAAATAGTCAGCGGGACAATAATTATTTTTAACGTGACAGGGAATTATGCGAAGATAATAAATAACATGTATTTACTTAAAGACTCAACAACATTATACCTATAGAATATTATATTGTAAACATGTCATTTTACCAATTCTAATTCTGTTTTTGTGTGTATTATGATATGCACACAACAATGACAACACTTTGAAATGGACTGTCCTTCACGGGTCGTTTACATCAATGCTGTAAAAAATTACACGTGTGTGCACGATCGTCACGTTGACATATTTGATTATAAACTAAACACACTCATGCATAGTTTGGTATCAAAGTTATAAATAAACACTAAAACGACTGTATTTGATGTGGCAAACAAAATTGTGTTTAGGAAGCTTATAAAAATAATGGCGCCACTGTAGTCTTATTTCCTATAATTAAAGGATGACGTCACTAAATTTGACATTTGAATTGACAGCTGTCAATCGTAATTCAATTTAATTGTAAGAAATGGCAGAAGTTGGGTTCTAATTCAAAGTTTAATTTGTGGTTAAACTGAAGATGACATTTCTTTTATATAGTTACCATTTAATGCAAGAAAAATTGTTCTGTAAAATTAAGTGCTTTTACAATGTAGTGGTATGATGCAGTTGGCGCGTGATAGTCGTAATTGTATCCGCCTCTCATTTATTAAAACGTGACTCGGTTTGCGTGCGCAAGAGTCGCCTAACTACTGGATTGATTGACGGTGAATTGGTGAATGCGTCCCAACAATTAAATTACTTAAGCGTTCTTTATTTACGACTCCTTTTCCTCCTTGCTTCCTCAGTGCTGAGGGTTTTGGCGTGACCACCCTCTTATTTAGTTCTGCGTCTCTTTCTCACATTTGATATATTTCTATCAATTTCTATCTCTGGGGGTCTATTTACAACTTCTTAATAATTAAACTTTTCGATAAGCCTGGGTTGAAAAAGTTAAAAATAGGTCTTACCTATGAAATTGCCGTTCTGCAGTACTGACCATATCAAATCCGAATTCTAATTTCAAATTAATTTTGTTTTGAAGACATGGAATTTATTTTCCAATAGTAGTCATTTGTTTATTAACTATTGTTACATTTTTATTGATTGTTGCATTTCAATATTTTTCGTAATCATGGATACGTTAAATATTCGAGTAATTATGGAATATGACTACCTGCCGTACTACCGTCGCGTCGCGTCGTCGTGGCGCTCGACAACGCGGCTCAAGCGGCACGCAACATCAACGAAGTTTACGGAGCTAACTATTTATGTATATTGTGTAATGTAATGTAAAAAAAAAACATGTAAAAATGTAAGTGTAATGCAGATAATAGCGATATGTATTGTATAGTAATCACGATAGCTACAATTGAGATGGCGAATATGGCCATATTAACGACTTTCCATAAATGTTTATGGCCAACTGTAATAATTTTTGAATTTAAATTGTAATAACTTTATTAACCTCTTTCGTTGAATATGAATTTAGTATTTTTATAGCACTATTCAAAAGTCCTTGTTTATGACGTGCAAAGGACGTGCTCATTATCCTATTGTTATCGTATCCATAAATTTAATAGGTTTTCCAAACCTCTCACTTTACGTAAAACAGTCCAACATTTTTTTTAACGTTATACAACATTAATGAATTTCCTACAAATTTCTAAAAAACTGCAGTACGTCGCGTGCGCATATTTCATTAACAAAGTTATCTTCGGCTTCAATCGTCTATCTTCGGTGTTATTGATCGTCAGAAATCAACCGATGACCGATACTTCCGCACGAATGCCACTGCCAATTGACCATTAAGTGAGCATACCGTCAACGCTATAAACACAACTTTAAGTACCCAAGTTATCAAGAACTGCAGGACTGGGAATGATATCGTTTGCTTATCTTTCCACGCAAGTCGCACGAACAATAGTTTGTGTTACTTGAAGGTTATCAACCTGTCACTATTACTGCATTGTTTTATTCTTCGAAAACTGCTGGAACCTACTGTTTGCCTTGTCCAGCTTCGCCAGCGATGGCTAATGGATAATAGTATCCTTAAGCAGTTGTTGTCAGACAGCCTAAGTGCTTAACAATGCGCTAATTATGTCTAGTTGCCGTTTTAATGATTGATTTGCATGTGCAGCTTCATTTGTATGGCTGTCGTGTAATCTTAAACGATTGACTTGCAGGTCAACTAGAGAAAGTTTACGGTCAAAAATTCGAAGCGTCCAATTACATTTGGTCTATGACTTGGTATTCCTGAAAAGTAATTTCTGTCCGTTTTTTTTCCTAAATATTTGGTAAAAAGGTGATAGCTCCGTCTCATGAGGGTGATAGTATTGCCACCCAACACAAACTCGAAATGTTTGCTGGAAAATTAAAAATTGACAATGATTTTTAAGTAACTGGATCCTGTCCCCATTGCTTATTCATAATGCAGTTACATGAACTTCAAGGTAGGTTAGATAGATGCAGTATACACCTTGTCAATGTGTAACAATTGAGATAAGTACTGATTCTAGCTGAGAATATTAGTCTGCAGTTAGATAAGGCTAGTTTATAAATCTAGCTCGGTGCTGATGCCGACCGGACTGGTTCGCAACCGCACCACACTTGCTTTACATTAATGCAAGGTTCAACAGATATATACACACGAATATAAACAAACTAGTCTCAGAATGGCATATGGTTATGGTCAGCATTGTCTAGAAGCTGATGATGATGATGGTTGGTTAGTTTTGGAAAGAACGTTAAATCATCATACCTGGTTGTGATATAAAACAAATCATGTGAAAATCGTTACAGCTAATCAGAATCTTCAAACATGTGGTAACGGGTAAGGTAGGCCATTTATTTTAAGTATTTTGAGTTACCAAAAGGTATTATTTTCCATTGCCACGTATCGTTATTTCACTTTTTAATAGCACGAACCGTGAAACAGATTCTATTGTACGTTATGACTCACTAATGGAATAAATAAGCCTGTCCAAATCTGGCACCAAGCCATTTTGTGATAAGTTTTAGGTTTCAGAGACAAAAGTCTAGCTTTAATTTAATGATATAATTTAATACTATATAGAAATAGGTTTTCTTAAAAGCTAAAGTAATTTCACTAGACAAATTCAACATTAATGAAACATGGTATTAAAAGTCACGTTTTCCACACTTTGCTGAACATAGATTTATATTGAAGCATTAATTTGACGTTCATGTTGGAATATTAACACAGACTAACGTAATTATAGGTCCCGCTTAATGCATTAGCGGTAGCGATTTCGTCACAATTAACAAATTAAGTTGCTTATAAATTTAATGACAGTGCTATAAGTATGACAAATATTATCCATCACTAATCATTGTAATAATCTAAATGCGAATTAATTTTGAATTACTGCTATACTTTAATTACTAGTACTAACTAATTACTTATTTGACAATGTTATTGATTAATTGGGGTTTATTAGGTAGGACTTCACTATATTTATTCAAAATTGCGTTTAGATCAGTGCCAGCAACTTCGAGAGAGTGACAGAGACAGAGATAGGTAGAGTAACAAAGAAACAGTGAGGCTGATGGGAAGCAGCGTTTCATCCGTGTGGTATTTTTAAGTTTAAATATTTCATTGAAACTGTTAGAAATACCACAGAAATTTAATAAATAGTAAATATTTTTTATGAATAAAATAATATTTTTGTAGTTGGGGATGATCTGCTTGATCTTCTATGGGTTCCGAAACCATTGATCAGGTTTTGATAGTGCTTTAGTATGGTGTTCTAGAAACGTTTTCGAAAATCCTTGGCAAAATGTGTCTACCTAACTAGCTTCATTTGTAAATGAAATATTATGATTGTTGTTTCAGAACAAGTGGTGGTCAGGCGTCGGGCCGGGCTGCTGCACCGCGCCCGCCGTGCCGAGTCGCGCGTGCGATGCGGAGCGGTCCCCGCCGCCCGCGCCGCCTCCCGCTCCGCCTGTGCTTTGCGCCAGACCCTGCTGTCGCGACGCCACGTCAGTATACTCTTAGCTTTATTTTCTTTCACCAAGTAGGAAGCTAGATGAAATCCAAGCATGTAATTTTAAATAGATGTAATCTCGGCTATCTCAGCTACTAGTTATAATTAAAAGCTTGTGTCGTTGACAAGTTATTCACATAAGACTGTCCACTACTCGTTGAAATATCGTCACAAAAACGAAGTACCTACACATAAAGGGTCGCACAAAATGTAATTATAAGGGTGCGCAATATTCTCAACTACGCAAAGCTAAATTATGCTAAATTAAAATTTTCATTCAAGTATGAATAATAGTCTCCCTATTTCACAACTCTTCTATGGATGACCATCTCTGTTGACAAAAGAAGCTTGTGAAATTATTATAATTGCTAAAGGGTTGGGACGGATGACCAACTCTCACAAAAACTTTAATAATATTCGGACTAGGATTTACTATGCGAATGTTAGGGAACTTTTACATTCAGTAAATTTTGAATGCTCCCCTACTTGCAGTATCCTTTTTTAGTCCAGCACAAACTTTGTCTGGAGAGAGCCAAATGGGTACGCCACCAACCAATCATTTGTCACGGTTGCCAGAAGAACTTTATATTCGCGAAAAATACCATGAAAGTAATTTCCGACGTTCTAACATCATTTTCAGCGTTGGAGCGAGGGTTGCTAGTTGAATTCCGTAAAGTGCTTTTAAACGTAATTTCAAATCGTAATTTCGCAAATGAAATTTTGAAATGACCGTAATGGTCTATTTGGTTTACCGAGAGCGATAGTTTACTTTCAATAGACTAGAACTACGACATAGTATCTATCTATGTAGCAGTTAAAACAACTGAACAATTCATAGCATCAACATCTAGTTTAAAAACAAGCAAACATTTCATACAATCGGCGTTTGCGTTCCCACCGTGTGCGTACTCTGCTCAAGCGCAGGTTAATGGTACCCTCATTATTGAATGGGCCACACAATACGGGGAATTCGGGTGCGCGGTCCCCTCCGCTACAAGCTACCTGTACCCCCCGCTACCCTCAACCCTCGCCAGCTACCCTAGTCCCTTTAGCCTATCCCAAAGCGTCATTCGGGTTGCAACCCTTACGATGCGCGCACGCATTCTACAGGGAGTCGCGAGCTCAACACAACTATTAAAACATTCGTTTTTAATATTGGATTGTTTATAGTATAAGTGAGTGTATAGTGAAATTTTGTACAGTGTAATATAGTGAAGTTTATGTTTATATTATTTTTAACAATAGTGTACATAATATCACATTTTGTAATAATGGATCTATCTATAAAACGAGTGAAACGCGAAGAGGTGGCCGACGACAACGACTACTACAATTTTTATGTTGATCATATTAAACATGAGGAATACACGTAAGTTTTTGATGTTACTGCTAGTTATATTGAATATTAGCTACCTTTACAGATATTGTATTCTGTTTTCTAGATCAATTTAGTCTTATTGACATGTTTCTTTCTCTTTGGATCATGATAAATATTTGTATTTAAAGTTATCCTGTTTTGCGGCACGTAACCTAGCCTAGTTTCCTTAACCTTGTAGCTCGGAGTGCTTTTTGGCATAGACTTCCTCTAAGTTTTTCCGCTAGTATCTCTCTTTCTTTCTCTTTTGCAATGTTGTCTTTTGAGTCAGGTCGACCTTCCACCTTCTTTGACGCTGCCAATCGTAGTTTATCTCCATTTGTTTTGGGTGTCTCAAATTCTATAGTAGACCGATCTTCACTTTGAATAATACCTAATATATAAATTACTTTTGTTTTTCTCTCTTATTGTTTGTTTTGCATTTTCATTTCTAGCATATTTCTCTTAATTTTTGTCTGACAGCGATCCTATTTGCTCAGTGATACCTGGTGACAGCAAAAGTTTTGCAACCGATAAGTTATAAGAAGTTTTTCTTTTTCTTGAACTTCCGACCATCTATCTATTTAAGCAATTTCTTTAGTAGTTTGTAAACAATTGGTATCAGATAGTTATTTCTACAACTTACGTGTTCTTCATACTTTGTATAAATATCCTGATCATTTCTATGAGATGTACTTGATCTTCTTCGAGCAGGACTATGTTGGTTGCAACTCTCAGATGATGAGGTTTATAGAAGATAGCTTTCCTTCTCTTTTATTCCTTCAGTCTTTTAGTATTTCTTACCGTTCAGTTTGTTAGTTAGACGCCTACAATTTATTAATATAAAGCTATGAAACTATAAACCAGTTTGTATTACAATTACCAAATTGCATTCTTTACAATAAAAACTGCAATTTAATTATTAGTAAAATGTAAATTACTTTCCCGTTTTACTCAACATAATTGCGTACTTGATTGCTATATAATTACAATGTCTATATGCAAATATGTGCTATACCTATTGCACACGTTTTCTTCGAAAGAATTCTAATTCTACACTGACTCAAACCAAGAGTTCTAAGGTTGATTTTTTTTAATCCTATAAGCTCACAAAGTATTTATGTTCTTGGAACTTTTTTTCTATCTTTACAAGACTTTTGCTTTTTAAGTCTTTTGTCGGTAATGTTAAATAATGTAATATCCCAAGTATTCTTCGGTATTTGTATAATAACTTCAGGTTATAACTGTAGATACTTTCTCTACTGTCGCAAAAAATATTTTACTTACATCAAGTTTTTTCCCTCCTCTGTCAAACTTTAACATATTCTCGATTCTATTCCGAAGGCTTTAAAGTTGAAAGTCTAATAAACTAATTTTGCGATTCGCAGAAGCTTGAAGTACTGCCGTACTTCGAAAATAATAATAAAGCGTGCCCCTTACTTTCGACGTTATTTCCAATAGGATATAGTCCGTTTTACAACTTTACACTTTATGAACTTAGCAATACGATCTAAAATCGAATAATTTGTATCGATTTATCGGAATTGCCCCTAAGTTTAGGCCTAACGTAGACAAGCGCAAACGCCGCCGACGGGATTTTTTGTAACGGGAACTCGTGCGTGGATACCATTTATTTTTTGTTACCTATTTTATTTTTGGGTGTAGCAAAAAGTGGTAGTAAAGTAAAATGAAGGTGGATGTTGAAAAGGTTTGAAGAATGTTTGAAGTTACACTTGTGTCGGAAACAACCACCTGGCTGGTGGTGATTTTGAATGGTTTTTCTGCAATATTATGGTGTCAGATCTAAATGTTTCGTATATACGAATGCTATCTGTATGCTCGGTAATAAATTCGATTGTCTGTGACGAAATTTGGCATAGAACAGTGATGGATTATAATTTGGAATAGCATATAGGCTACTGTTTATCCAGCTAACCTTTGGACTAAAATTTAAACACTATTTATTTTGTTAGCTTTCTAAACATAGTCTTTTTTCCTAACAGAGTCGCAGATAGCATTGAACCTCGTCGCGTCGTCGTTGAACAAGTCGGCAGCGGCGGCGGCGCGGGCGCGAGCGGCGCGCGGCACAAGACGGCTCCCCAGGCCGCAACGACGACGGCACACAGCAAGCAGCTGGCGGCGGGCGGGGCCAACCACCCGCCCCAGCCGCAAGGTAACCATAAACGTAATGTCTTTGTTGTTACCTCCTTTTTATACACATTTAGGTACACACATATACACATCACATGTCATGATTAACATCATTTTATTTTGATGAAATTTTATTTTGATGAAATTCTCTAATTAAGTTTAGGTTCTCTTAGGTCTCGAACTAATAAGAAATTATTGATCAAAGGTATGGATATTTAAGTTTGTTTTGATAAACGAAAATATAGATTAAAATCTATTGATTAATCAAAAATAATTATTAATATTTTAGTTTCATAGATTGTTTCCATTTTATGTCTTTGTCCTATAAATATAAAATCTTTTATTTAAAATACCACGAACTAATAAAGTAATACTAGCAAACGGGATATTTTGGCATAATATTTAACGTAAAACGGGTAAACCCTTGATAAATCGAACAAAAGAGATTTTATTGAAAGGTAAGCAATTAAGAGAACTTTATGACTATTCCTTTTCTTCAAGTAACACTTACCAACTTCAGACAAATTACACTGAAACACTATTTAAAGGATATTCAGACATTTCCGGAAATCTTGTTTTATTGTAACACAATTATTTTTTATGCCAATGCTAAAAAAACAATCTGCAATATAACTAGGTGAATACTTAGTTTCGTCAATTCTTATAAGTACATAAATATTTTAAAACTTTTGATATGGGCCAAAAAAATATTAAGAAACAACGTCGACATAATTCAAAAGACCTAAATCTTTTAAATTATATTATCTTTTATTATTTATTTAAAGGATAATTGAAAATACCAAGTTATGTCTCAAATCTTCTATTTATGAACGCCATTGACATTTCAAAATACCGCAGTCAGATTGTCAAAGTTACAACATTTTATTTAAAGTTCTTTTGCCCAACCTTGGCATTAAAATAAATCTTGATAATTATCATTACACTTGATTTGTCAGTCGTATACGGCATAGGCAGTAATATATGTTAGCAAAGAAAATTCATCAGCAAACGAAATTTTACATAAAACGAAGTTGGTGGCGAAACGGAGTTCGCCGGGTTTGCTAGTGGGATATAAATATTATGGGGTATTAGAATTAAAATAAATACTACAAGTTAAAAGTTTGACATCATTGGTGAATAAAACAGTTGTGGCGGTAATGCACTCCTAAATCTGTTTGTTGCGAAGGTTCAGGAGAGCTCAGACTCCTTCATCTCATAAAAAAAGTAATAAAGAAGTTGTTAATACAAAAATTAAGAATGTATTTTCACAACGCCTGGACAATGTTAGTACCTTATTAAAAGATAATAATCATGAAATGTTTGAATATCCTTTAAAATAAATAAACACGAATTGGGTGTATTGTATAAAATTTCAACCAACCTAACAGGAGGTAACAATACTCAAGGTCCCGTGGGAACCGAACCTGTAGATTGTTTGAACTTTCATGCACTATCCTTTGACAAACGCACTTAGCATAAGTATTTATTTTTAAAGTCCTTTTTATGATGTTTGCTATGACACCTACAAATAACCTTTAATGTTATTGATATAGAGTTTAAAATCGAATGTTTACTTTTGTCAGATTGCCGCATCTTATAGCTAGTCACAAGAACATATTGGTAGATAGATTGGCTACCAGAGGGCTTAGTACGAGTATGTTATACGTTTAAAGTAATCGAAATGAGACCGCGTTCAGCGATCTGATTGGCCGGCTCCAGTGAACCACCCAATCAGAGAACACGCTCTCGTAAAGCAAATTCGTACTTACGCCTCGGATAGAAATAACATATTGACATAGACTCTATAAAAATATGACAAAAGTCTACCTATTATATAGTAGTCAAGTCTAATAAGAGAGATTACTATATTTTTACTATGTCATAGTTTTCGTCATATATTTAATTATAAGTAGGTCGATTAAAGTCTTACATGTTGACCCGGCTCAAGCCAAGAGAATTCAGTAAACAACTCACTCGTTTTAACATAGTTGATTGATTAATTTGATTAATTGTGTTTTTGTTAACACGAATTAACTTCGCTTGAGCGCAATCTAAAATGTAGTTTTTCGTCTTAATATCTTTTAGAATGTATACGTTCTTTGGACTTCTCAAAATGTTTTCAATAACACTATTAAATTACTGACACACAAGTAATACTAAAATCTCACGTTAGTATTGCCTCTGGAATTAATACACTCACATCTGTTGACCCCCGATTGTACGGTAGACACAGTAATCATAGTCACTATGTCTAATACCTACGCTACTTACATTAAACTACAATATTCTTGTGTCTCGACCCTATACATTTTAATGAGTCTATTTCTAACGGCACCCCACTAAAGGCTATTTTGAATTAATCATAATTATAAAGCCTTTCAAAGTTACCATTAAACTGTTACTTTGAATTTCAATGGACACCGATTTACAATGCTTTAGAAGTGACTTGGTACTTAAATAGGTGAGTCGCAAGCTTTGCGCTAAAAATAACATACAAAATTTTGAAATTAACCCCTTCTCTTTCAGTTGACCTAAAATAACAGACAATGACAATCAAATTGACACAATCCTTTATCTTTCTTTCTTCCCCAGATCCACAAGGAAACAAAAAATATGATAATTCTAGAAGACCGACAGCTCGAACAAAACGTGAGATATAGACACACATATTTATAGTATAGGTAACATTTTGGAAGTCCAAAGATACGTCGTAATGCCCTTACAATAATATCACAAATACGGACACTACAATATTTACAAAAAATGTTCGGAAATATCTTAAAATATTGAACAATTTTGGTAAATATGTACTCTGTTTCTTTCTTATTTAAGTTTAGTTTCCAAATGGGCAAGTGTGTGACTAATATGTGGTGTTTTTTGCAACTGCAACGATACAGGCTCCGGCTGTGGTGGCGATGGCGACTACCAGCTGGTGCAACATGAGGTGCTCTACTCCTCGTCCAATAGGTCAGTACTGAATAACTACTTATTAACTAACTCCGATACCCAGTTTAAATGATTACTCAAACTATTCCTTAGTAGGAAACGATTTTGTTCCGAAAACTATTGCTAAGGACTGGGTTAAGCAGCCATTTTTTTTTCTTTTTTAAAACGTTGCCCCCACACTAGGATTTTCTCCTGTGTCGTAGGTGCGTTTACAAACATACAAGTTCACATACACACCTAGACCCGAAACAACAATTTGTGGATCACACAAAGATATGTTCCGTGCGGGAATCGAACCCGCGACACGTTGCGCGGCAGCCAGTGGCCCAGCCACCGCGCTAACCGTGCAGTCGAATGACTCTTGAGTACGGCGATTAATGTGTAATACATGATTATCATTGATTTTTGCCTTAACATTTTGCTGTTTAATCAAAATTACTAGTGAAATCAGACATTATCAGTAATTTCTTAACAAATAGGATTTGGAATTTATATAGGATTCTTTTTTTTTCTATCATGAACCTGTATCTTTGTAAACTTAACTTCATACGATCTTAAAAATAACTTGAGAAACAAATCAAAATCCAAATATTTATTTGCACAATGAAGGACTATGCAGGTCTCATAAACCAAAGGATCATAATAAAGATATATCTCAGTGTACCATGTAAAGCAGGCCGACATCATATGTCAAGTGTCGTCCAGGGCTCATTACATGAGATTCTGCGACGCAGTAATTGGCCGGAGGTAGTTGCACGTCCTCAGATAAGATCGCTCGACGATCAAGCCGGACTGTTGATTATACAGATTGATCTTGATTAACGAGCAGTACCGTGGAATATTATGAATACGTTACAACATGGCTGCCGACTTTACTATCAATATTATTGTTCAATCTCCACCATGTTATGCTATTGGCACACTACTTTTGTAATATTTCTTACTTAGCGATCTAACTTGGTATGTATATACTGATATAGGTACCTAGTCTTTTGTCGTAATAGGTTCGTTAAATGCCTTTATTTAACAGTTACCTTTATTGATTGACTTTGGCTTAACTTTTCTCTTCTCTTATAATATCTTCCGATTTATTTAGTTGCGGGCCAAGACAGGTATTCATGTCCCTTATATGCGCCGAATTTCAGTGTTGTTTTCATGGTTGTATCTACTATAGATCTTGCTTACAGGAGTTGCAACTATATTGGGAGGTTGTCCCAAAAGTTGCTTTATTGAGTCAAGTTGCAAATCAATGTATATTCTTGTTTTTACCTATAACATACAGTTGTGTTCACAGTTCCGAGCAGAAATCCTTGCGCTCGTTTCATTTATCAACAGTCCTTGCATTCTTTCTAGTTTACCAAATACATTATTCATAATCCTACAACATTACGTTTGAACGTGATATTTTAAATACGCACTTTTTTACTTACAACTCTTTGGCACAGTTTCAGGCTGGGAATTGAAACTTACAGATTTGGAATTTAGTGCCTATAAATTAGGTATGAAAGTTAATTTGCTTAGCAATAAATACATTATAAGATTGTAACAGTCTTTGCCAAATGTTTTTAGAATAGTATTGACGTATGTTTTTGTGCATAGCATCTGCTGATAAAGAGTTATTCCACTATAGCTGAAAATGTTTATTCCACTATAGCTGAAAATGTAATCTTTTAGTCCTTCCTTATCTCCCATTTTGGCATTTTTAGTACTATTATACTAACAAAGGTGGTGTTTTCTCCATTACAGGTACGAGGTGTTGGAGTTCCTCGGCAGAGGTACGTTCGGGCAGGTGGTAAAGTGCTGGAAGAAAGGCACTAATGAGATAGTCGCCATCAAGATCCTCAAAAACCATCCTAGCTATGCCCGCCAAGGACAGATTGAGGTAAAGTACTTTATTTTTATTATATTTTTCAACATGTCGATGGTGACATTGACATTTTCCCTAATTACAGTGTTCGACAACAACTTTTATATTGTTGTAAAGTTAAAAATATATTTTGAAACGTTTCCAATATCACCGGGTCGGTCACTAGTCGCCAGTTAGTCTGTAATAAACATTGTCACTATCACAATAAATACTACTTTAATAGCACTTTACTATGTATTTACCTTGATTCTAATCTTTTACGTGTTTTTTATTTTCACTAATATTATACGTTTTTGAAACGTACAAACGTATATTTTGAAACTCAGCCAAGTCCAACATTAATATTAGTTTGTATATGAAACAGCCCTTTATGTAGGTCAAGATTTTTTATGAATTCTGGGTTGGTAAATGGAAGCGAAATACTCTTTGTTTCCTAGTCGTTAAAGTTGTTTTTGGAACATCAAATATAATTATAGATATGTAATTTGATTCAGATTTTCCATTGTTGTTTAACAAAAATAGGTCTTATTCCTTCAGAAATAACTTATAAAACTTTCTAAAACTAAAATGTGTGATGTCAGTAACATTATTTACGTTTGATAGAAGGGTAGCAAGAGCGTTATAGTGAGTTTGGCTTCGCTCCAGCCGGTCTCTGTTTGTCCACCGAAGTGGTTCCACCCTGTATATAACATCTAGGAGACTACACGTCGACGGTGGCCTCCATTTTCATGTTATGACAGGTGGGATGTCAAGAATTCTCTCTTGGCGTTTCTTAGATGTATATTTTGCGACGTAACACTCATGTTTTGTATAAATAATCGTCTGAATGGTACTGTGTTCACGGAATTGATTTCAAGCAAAAGAGACATGTTCATAAACCCTAAAATAGGACAAATGGCATATTCAGACCGACAAAAAATACCGAATTGAAAGTAATGTTTTTGTTTTTGCCTTGTTTATCCTTAAAGAATCTTGCTAAATACCTGCATTGTTCTGAACCTAAAATGGTTATGTTTTCTTTTCCACAGGTATCTATTTTGTCCCGGCTCTCGCAGGAGTCAGCGGATGAATTCAATTTCGTCCGAGCGTATGAATGCTTCCAGCACCGCTCACACACGTGTCTTGTGTTTGAGATGCTGGAGCAGAACTTGTATGACTTTCTTAAGCAGAACAAGTTCTCGCCGCTGCCTCTCAAATACATCAGGCCTATACTCCAGCAAGTCCTCACGGCGTTACTTAAACTTAAAGTAAGTGTTTTTGTTCAGAAAACTTCAGAAAACTAAAGTAACATTTCCCCCTTAAATGTTTTATTAAGGCTCTCACGTCCGATTTACTTAAATGCTACTCAGAATTTGTAGCGACAGACCTATTCTTGAGGTATTTTAAAATTTAGTGCTGTTTTTTTTATTTGAACAATAATGTCCTTTTTTATGACATAAGCTGGTAAACGAGCAGACGGATCACCTGATGGTAAGCAATCGGTGTCGCCCATGGACACCAGAGGCGTTACAGGTGCGTTATCGGCCCATTCGTACCGAACCATGGCTCTCCCACACTTATCTTATTACAAAAATTGATAAATAGTATTTAATTGTAGGAGGTAATGTGTCTTGATTTTATAACACAATCAATTCTATTACAATATTAGGCGGTACGAAATACCTATATTATACCTATATTAATAATTTTCATTCTTTTTCTAGCAACTGGGTCTAATACACGCGGATCTGAAGCCAGAAAACATAATGTTAGTTGAACCAGCGCGACAGCCATACAGAGTCAAAGTCATCGACTTTGGAAGCGCTTCACACGTCAGCAAGGCCGTCTGTAATACGTACTTGCAGAGCAGATACTACAGGTAAATAATAAAACAGTTTTAATTTATTTCAATTTAACTTTAATATGAAAATTATAATTTGGAACTAGCTTATGTCCTGTGTATCTCCAACTAAACATGTGAATTATTTAAAAAGATTGGTTTACTATGTAAAAAGACGAACAAGCACACTTATTGTTGTATTACTGAAGACATTCTTTATTAAGTTTACATCTGACTACAGTTTTAAGTAACTCTAACATAATATCAATTAGTAATATTTAGTTTTTATAAGACAACATCTAATAAAATGTACCGTTTCTTCACCAGAGCACCAGAGATAATCTTGGGGCTTGCATTCTGCGAGGCTATCGACATGTGGTCGTTGGGCTGTGTGGTCGCGGAGTTGTTCCTGGGCTGGCCGCTGTACCCCGGCTCGTCGGAGTACGACCAGATCCGGTACATCTCACAAACGCAGGGTCTACCAACTGAACACATGCTCAATAGGTATAGAACATTTTCAATACTTATTTTTATTAATCTTTTTAAATTTTTGTAGGTCTTTTCAAGTATTAACAGCCAGTCTTAATTATGTAGGTTCCTATTATCTGTAGATTTGGTTACTACTTACTAGAGATAATTTTGACATACATGGACTTTATCGGCCGAAATTAATAACCGATATTAATTAATCCACAATCTGTGAATCGATCTAAGTTTTTGACAGAAACTCCTCTCCTCCTAAATATTACTCTAGTAAACAAATCTACGGATAAATAAGATTATAAAAACTGGTTGGTTAACTTGTTTTAAACTGTCAAACACCAAGCGGTCACCGGTGACCGCAACCTATTGTTCTATAATTGTGTCTATAATGACGGTACTTGACGAGTTAAACTCCATTCCATTTATAAGTCGGAGCAGCTTTTTTCAATTCTAATATTCTTTTACAGCGCTAGCAAGACGGCGAAGTTCTTTTATCGTGATGTGGACAGTACATACCCATTCTGGCGTTTGAAGACCCCTGAGGAACATGAGCTGGAGACAGGCATTAAAAGCAAAGAAGCCAGGAAGTACATCTTCAACTGCCTTGATGACATAGGCCAGGTAAATGTACCGACGGACCTTGAAGGCGGCCAACTTTTAGCTGAGAAAGCAGACAGAAGGGAGTTTATTGATTTACTGAAGAGAATGCTCACTATGGACCAGGTATGTATCATGAATTTATTTATTTTATTTTTACTTTCTAACTAATCCTGTATGATTTTACCGATTGCTCTGCTCTTATGGCCTTACAGTCTTCATAGATAAATGGAAACTCACAAAAGTTAATTTTGCAATTCGAATGAGTAATTCTGGTAAACAAACCCTTCAGTTTTATTATATGATGGTCATTAACTCTCTTTGAATATTGCAGGAAAGACGAATAACTCCTGGTGAAGCATTGAATCATGCTTTCGTGACACTCGCCCATCTCGTGGACTACGCGCACTGCAACAACGTCAAGGCGTCCGTTCAAATGATGGAGGTAAGCTTTGCAATTTTGTATCATTTTTAAACTGTCAAACACCGCGAGGTCACCGGTGACCGCAACCTATTGTTCTATAATTGTGTCTATAATGACGGTACTCGACGAGTTAAGAACCTGTAAGAGTTCATTGCTGAATTAGGAATCTCCTCTACAAATAAGTTTTGCAGATGGCAGTTGTATTCATAGGTTTATCAGAAAACGTTGCTACCCAGCAAAAGTCTTCATTGAGAAATAATTTGGGTTTCATATTTTTCTTTTTACATTTTTAGTTCAACTCATTTTGGTAAACGTTGCGTTTCTCGGTGCCTTTTTTCTTTACTTGGTTTACTTTCTTGGTTTTGTACATGAGTTTCCTAACCTGTACCTATGTTCCCAGGTATGTCGTCGTTCAGGCGGCGGCGTGGGTGGCGTGGGCGGCGTGGGCGGCGGCGGCGCGGAGTACGTGTCGGGCGTCGTGGCCGGCGCCGCGCCGCCGCACCATCTCGCGCTCACCATCAACCAACAGAGGCTCAGGGCGGCGCCTTATGACAACCTTGTAAGTATACTTCTTCTTTATAACCAGCTAACGGCCAGACGCATCACCTGATGGTAAGCAATCGACACCGCTTATGATGGACACTCACTAAAAAGTTACAAGGGCGTTGTCGGCCTTTTAAGGGGGTTGGGATCACCACAGATGGGGCCCAACAGGGCCGATGCCGATTCGGAGTCGCGGAAAACCTAACGGGTAACCGGGGCTCCGGCACGACGTGCAGGAGAAGGAACGGGGTGGTTTTTAGTCAGTAAGAGTCTGACACTCCCTCCCGCCTCACCCAGGCGGGAGCAGTCATTCGATGATTTTCCCCCTTAAAAAAAAGGGGTTGGGATTGGAGATTTCGAGAATGATATAAAGACGTTATAAGTTGCGATTGCATACAAAATTCATAGAACAATCTTGTCTGAAAGATATCGATATTATAAAAGTAATGAATTAAAGATAACAACGATACTGTACCAATAAAAAAAACATGATTTTTAAAAAAATTTCAACTTTTTTAAAGCAACATAATAACATACCTTTCTTTCTTCTTCTTCTAGTACCAGTTATACCAGGGCGGTCGTGTAGCAGTGGGAGGTGCCCGTCAGTACGCGACGCGTGCTGCAGAACCATTCCCTCATCAATTCGTCTCGTCCATCCTCTGCCAGCCAGCATACCAGGTGATTATGCATAATATTTATAGCAATCATAATAACTACCATTTTAAAAAGAAGCGCGCTTGGATGAAATTTATCGACAGCAAATCAAATAAAGATTACAGTAGATATTCACCCTATTAACTTTTAAAATCAATAAATTAGTAGATATAGTTCCTATTACTAAGAAGAATATAGCCGTCCCAAAAAGACTGACTTTATAGACTGAAACAGAAGAATTAGTGTTAGCCTAGTTCAGTCTAGTCTAGTTGACAAGTGCTATGTTTTTGTGATATTCATTTTTTATAGACTTTTTTCCAGTTGTGAAACTATATTTCAACAAAAATAGCATCTTGGGTTTCAAACATCAGTATAGGTGTAGCCACTGGATGTAAGGACATTGTTCGAGCCCTTTGCTCAACAGTGGATGTCTTCCATCTGATGATGACCAAGATACGAACCTTTTTTTAAGGGAATCTTAGAAATCTGAGATCTGAAAATGCTTACTATATAAACTAAAATTTTCAAAGACGCGAAGTTGCTTTGGATAGGTTATGTAAATATGGGTGGAATATGAAAAATTAAATGTTGTGTTAATTCAGTGTTGTAGCGTTATGTTCGTTCTACGTTTATTACATTACAGTTATACATTAAAGTGAAAAAAAATATTTGTTTTTTGCGGATATCCCAAAATATAACTCTCATTCTTGACATTGTGTTATATACAAATATATATTGGGTGTCTTCAAATCCCGAGTGAACAGGTTGCTCATAGGTAGGCGTGCTCCATCCTCCGCCACATTATCGCTTACCACCAGGCGAGATGCCAAACGGCATCATATTAAGTATCAAAAAATAAAAAAGTGCTTGCCACTCAGAGCCGAACCATTAAGAAAAAAACCTATACGACTGTACAATAGGAAGGTTACGGTATAATATGGGTTAGAAACCCATAGAATTAAGGTTTTAGTTCTATACATAAGATATTGATAAGAGATCTTAAAACTTAGAAACTGCTGAAAAAGAAACCACTACATACTTAGTGAATACACACATAAAAAGAGAATAATATTATTCAACAGTTGCTTTATTTATCAATGAATAATATCATTGACAAATAATGCAACTAAAAGGCCTATTACGAAAAATCGATTGACAAGGAACAGACTGTATGTCAAAATTATCTAACAAAAAAATCGTATCAGTCTGTTTTGTGTGTGTATTATTATTTGAATATAACGAAATAAAACTGTAAAATATTACTTTGCATAAAGTACGAGCTCCACCAGGTGCAGCAGTTGGCTGCGGCCGCTGCAGCCGCCGCCGCCGCGCATCATCAGCACGGCGTGGCGGGCGTCGCAGGCGTGGCTGGCGTGGCCGGCGTGCCAGGCGTGGCCGGCGTGCCGGGCGTGGGAGACGTGAGCGGCGTGGCGGAATGGCGCGCACCTCTCATCGTGGAACCAGCGCCCATGCCTGAACCTGATGTATGGGATGCCTTCCATCCGCATCATCCACAACATCATCACCCGCATAAGAGGTTGGTATCTTACTTTTACCTTTTCTATTATAAACAAAACACTTTTAGCACAAGAAAGAGATTCTAATTCGTTTTACGGAGATTACAATTTACGTACAATCGTTGTCCGTTGAACATTAAGATGAAAGATATATCTAGTTATTAAAGTTCAATAGCAAAACAGTCAAGAGTGATACTAGCGGTTTCTAAAATAACGTTTTTATTTAGGTAAAAAGATTCAACCCAAATAAGAAACGTTTACGAAGTTCGTTTTAGGAGTAAAAAAATTGATTAAAAAGCACTCCGAAACAAAACCGATCTCATACAAATCCTATATAACATAAGAAGTAATAATAATAAATCTTACGAGACAATAATTAGAAAAAAATACAGCCGAATATAATACCTCCTGTTTTTGAAGTCAGTGAAAATTAAGAGGGAATAAGCAAGTACTAAAAGCTAGGGTTGTCGACAGATCAACAAAGCAGCAGACGACGGTGCCGCACTACCAACCGCACCACCAAACGCATCAATACAGGTGTTTACTATACAATTATATAAAAACCGTACAATCTATACGTCTATATAGTTATCCCCACATAATATTGTGTATTGTATATGTGTACGTCTATATCCACAAAATTACCTGTAATGTTTCACCTGTACCAGCCCTAATCCCGCAATATTATAATTGTTATTGCTGCTCTATATTTATATAGTAATGTTTATTTTATTGTCGCTTATTTTATGTTATTACTACATTTATTTGTATCAGTTCTTAGTTTTTCTCGGTGTATTTCGTTCCTTTGTGAATATTAGTCTAGTGTTTAGATAGCTTACAGTGGATAGCTCGATTCCCGTGTCATGTTCGTAAACGCCCCTGTCGACTGGGACAGGTCAGCGCCAAACTGTTTTATTTTATTCTCGTTAGGGTTATTGTTCTTTTCAATCCCTTTTAACCCGCAAAACTATGTAACTAAAAAATAACTAAAGAATTGTATTGTAAACCTAATTGAAAATGAGTAATCTATGGAGTTTCTTGCTCGTTCTTCTACATAGGAATCTACACCTTGGAATGAGCAAATAGCTTCACTTTTATATTTTTGGTGACGGTCAAAACTGCCTTTCTGGTCAAATTGAAAGACTGCATAGAATGCAAAATGTTAAAACTTGGAACAAATAAATGATTACTGCGGAAACACGTATATTTAATTCAAAGGAGCCTGAGCGGTTCAAAGAATGAGTAAATCGTCCATGTTTTAATAGAAATTATTGATTCAACAATGTAAGACATTCGGTAATCCTGTATTTCGATGGAGGATTTTTTTTTTTTTTCAGAATTAATAAATAAGTCTATCAAGTAAGGCACAGAGTGGAGACATCTAAATAATTGATGTACATATTATTAATTTAATTATTTCCCAAACATTTCATTTTTATTTAGTAATTCGCGAGCTTACTAATTTAGATTTCAAGTTTTTCTTTTATAAAGCGTTTTTTTTTATCTATGTATACATTAATACAGCTTCACTATATAGCATTATTTAAAAACATATAGCGTAATGATTTAGTAAATAATTTGTAATCAAACAGTAGTACAGAAGTAGTCATTTACTCGTAAGAGTCGCTGAACTAACGAGTTTCAAAATTTGCGCAGTATGGCAAGCAGCGGCGGTAAGAAGGAGCCGACACAACTGTCGCCGGTGAAGAAGCGGGTGAAGGAAGGAACTCCACCATCTAGGCATAGGCATCATCATCACGACCACACGTATGTATTCACACGAGTTCTTATTATAAAGTTATATTAAGGTTGTTTTTGCAATGTACAGGATGTTAGCAGGTCAATTTACTCCGATATAACTTTTTTTATTTATTAAAAATTGAAGTTGAAATCTGTATCCACTAACCCCCTGTTATATGAGATTCTTGCATGAGTGCTTGCAACGCACTGGCAACTCCTTTGCAACTTGATCACTTACGATCAGGTGATCTATCTCCTCATATTGTCTAAGATACGTATGAGCCTGTTTGTTGTCACATTTACATTTTCAAAAAGTCATGAGTTTAGAAAATTGTATTGAAAGTTGAATTGAAACCCATACTGATATATTAAAATGATGAATGAATTGAGTAAATTGACGGATGTATTGATTACGTCAGTGTCCGCGGCGCCGCGTGGGAGGGCGGGGGCGGGGGCCCCGCGGGCGCGGCGCACACGATCACGATCCGCGACACGCCGTCGCCCGCCGTGTCCGTCATCACCATCTCCGACTCCGACGACGACAACGACGCGCCGCGCCGCGCCAGCCACGGGCAGCCGCACAACAATACTGGTACGTTTTTTTTTTAATGGGGAAAATCATCGAATGATTTCTCTCGCCTGGGTGAGGTGGGAGGGAGTTTCAGACTCTTACTGACTAAAAACCACCCCGTTACTTCTCCTGCACATCGAGCTGGAGCCAAGGTTACCCGTTAGGTTCTCCGCGACAATACTGGTACGCTACAATCACTTTTGTAGAATACCAAATAGATCAAATTAACTAAATTCGCGGGTTACTCACGTGAATATACTGAGAAAAGCTCTACTAGTTTCGAACCACACAGGGTTCTTCCTCATGAACAGCGTGCGCGATCGCGGCGTTGAACCGTGAGCTGCGCGACATATATTCACGTGAGTAACCCGCGATTTTAGTTCATTTAGTATGTCTCACGATAGTCATTACGTTATTACACGATATAAAAACATAGCAAATAGATCATCTGTAAAAACAATCATTAACGCCACCCATGGGCACTTCTCACACTAAAAGAGTGATGATCTCCGGTAACATAAGTCAAAATATAAAACAATCGTTGTTTCACTCCGTTAATCTGCTTATTACACAGCTGAGAAATATCCATTAATAAAAACTCCGCTGTTACTATCTCAAAAAATTAATAAAATCTTCAATTTCATATGGGTTCGCTTGATCCAGATTGTTTTACATTTTCGTCTGTGTGTTTACCAAGAAAAACTTAAATATTAATTATTGAATATTTTGATTGAATACGAGTTTCACCAGTAGTGATTCTTGAAAAATGTTAAAGCGAAGATTTGAGTAGCCCAAAGTTGCGGATGGAAAGTATGAAAAACTCGCATATTGCACCATTTACTTTTTATTTATGACTTACCATAATTAAATGTTTATTATTGCAGGCGGCAACGGTGAGTGCTTAAGCGGTGCGGTGGCGGGTACAAGCTCGGGCTCCGGCGGCGTCATATGTAGCGCGCGCTCGCCCAAGGACGACAAACATGTCAAGCATGAACCGCACCAGAACTGTCACCATCATCATCAGGTTTGTACAACACAATCCTTAACTAACCTTATACAATCCTGTTTTACAATTAATCAATTTGGAACAGTGAAGGATTATTATAAAAACTTATAAATGAATCGATTTTGTCAGGGTGGGATGATAACGGTTGAGAAATTTAAAAAAAACTTGTTATTGTACATGATGAATGTTCATTGTTGAAAACGGCATCCCAGTCCCCCTCTCTCCGTACCATGGTCTGAACCAGAGCCGGACGCGAGAGGTCGCCGTCGCCGATCACATCTCTGAAAAGGGGATTAGTGGTGTTCGACTTTGTAACTACTAAGGACCGTTTCACTTTGCATTAGGTTCAGTTCTTGAACTTCTTTTATTTCAACATCCAACAAAGGCGTCAAAATTCTAGGAAGATCACTATGAAAACTCTAATCTTATTCCCCAGCAACCCCAGCCGCAACAGTCATCAGCGGCGTCCCAGCCGGGGCGGGCGCCGCCGCCGTGCCCGTGGCCACCCCGCAGAGCCAGAAGAAGCGGCTGCTGGCTCTGGCGCAGCAGGAGGCGCAGGCCAAGCGGGAACACGAACACGTACACTCACATCTACCTCCCGTATGTATACACACCGTTACTGCGCTAACCATTATAACGTCTTACTTAGGTACCGGTTCCAATAGCTAAAGACAACATTTTGATTCAGATTAGACACAGTTAGGTTGGAAATTAATATGTCAAAATTCTACATCTAATAAGTAAATCTACGGGATATTAAAACCATTCGTTACTCGTTCTTCGTTCCTACGTTTCAGAGAGTTGATACTTTTTGAAACGTGCAAATAAATGTTGCATTTACGGCTTTTTTGACAAACTTTTTGCATTATGTTCAAAAGCGGCTTTCTTGTATATGCTTGCCATTTGAATAAATCTACATACAATCTAGTACAACAAAAGTTTTTATTGTGATTACAGAGCGGGTCAACAGTACGTCAAACGAACGACTATCAATGCAACCAGTATGTGCCGGCGCAGCACAATAAGAGAGATAGTGTAAGTATTGAAAAGTGTTTTATTAAAATAATAATTTAGTTTCTCTAAGTGGTTTCGCCGGCTTACTGGAGTAAGAAGTACTGTATGTTCCAGAATAAAATCTAAATTTGTACATTCAGTAGTTTGTCGTGAAAGAAACTTAATTGTGTAGCTGTAACGTTAGTGACAATTATTAGTACTCTGACCTCATATTGGTCAAGTACTGAATGAAAAGTAAGTTTTTGAATTCTGAAATAAAGCTAGTCTTTCGTTTCAAATAATACCAATGATATTTTTGTTATTACAGAGCGGCGGTTGTCGCGAGTACCTGACTAATGGAGCTGGAGTAAGCGGAGTGAACGGCGTGGGTGGCGTGAGCGGCGTGAGTGGCGTGAGTGGCGTGAGTGTGAGCGTGAGCGGCCCCCCCGCGGCACACAAGCACGCCGCGCCCCACGCCTGGCACCACCACCCACATCCACACTACAAGTTAGTAAACATACTACTACAAACATTCGCGCTTAATGCAATCTTTTAAGGCGATTGTATGCTATGACCAGATCTGGAGCTACTTACTAACTAGAAACTATATTGTAAAGTCATTTGGAGAATTATACCAATCATTCCCTTACATCCAACTACTCAGTTAAGAGACGTTTCTTCAACATTTTTAAATGTTCATTAAGTATTTATGCCTTTAAGTTGAAACCTTTTTATGTGTATACTTTTCTATGAAGTTAACTTTTTCGTTGTATGAGCTATACTTATTGTTGGTAGATATAAATCTTTGTTCCTTGTATAGAAGAACAATCGTCGAAACCATTTATCAAAACGAGTTATTGACACCATAATCGTGTTATTCCAGGACCGGTAGTGGTGGAGTATTGTCCCCGGGCGGGGGAGTGTCCCCCGGATATTTGCCGCCACCTCTATACGTACCCACATACCACTATCATACGTGAGTATTACACACATTTATATTTACCTACATATATATATTTTTTTGTTTCTGTATTGTAGATTTCATGATAATGTTACTTTGTAATGTGCACTTAAATACTGATACAAGAAGAAGACTTTGTAAACGCAAGCAATGAAATTCAACAACATTTTATTAGTATGGCCTGATTTAACTAGAATTAATACGTGTCGGTACCTCTTTTTTTAGAAGGTTAGGAAAGAATAACTTTATAATATGTGTCTGATTACGAAGTTATGACGAAAACGTTATGCTAACCTAACCGCGTGTGGTCCCCAGTGGCGGCGTGGGCGGCGTGGGCGGCGTGGGCGGCGTGGGCGCGCCCCCGCCGGCGCACCACGCGTCGGGCGGGCGCCTGCCGACGTACCTGCAGCCGTACTCGCCGACGTACCTGGTGCCGCCGCAGCAACACCTGTGGTACACGGACTGACACTAGCTCGGCGCACGCACTCCGCACTACTTCTCAATCGATCGAACGTCTTTTGTATTCTTTCTTAGCGATGTACGCCTGTAATCGCGCATATTCGAATTATACTTAATCCGGTATAAATGTTTAATCGTATTTGTTTACATGTGTAATTTATTACATGATAGCGATGTATGAGCGCTTTTAAATGTATGTATAATAGATTAGTGAATTATTTGTATCGTTCGATGTCGGTGTCTGTACTGGACGTATGAACACGGTTTGTTCACATGTATTATATGGATTGTAAATTTCGCGTTATATTTTGCTGATAAAGCGAGTAGGTTGCATTTACTAATATTTTATCATAGTTTAGTGTTTGTACCAAATCATTTTAATGGGGAATTAATTGATGTAAAGAGTATGTAACTAATGTGTTTGTGTGGTGATGCGCGACGTACGCGACTCGTTTTAGTTTACGTCACACTGAGTTTGTCAATTATAAAGTTTTATTTGTGTTGTACGTGTTGGAGACACGCTTCAGATATACGAGTATCGGCTGTACCGACAGTACCGAGGTTTGAGGATAAGAGTGTTACGTTCCAAGTGATGCAAACATTTATTGCTGTGTCTATCTTATATGCAAAATTAAAGGGTTTTATATTACGTAGGATAACTAAATGTGTAGGGCGCGGTGATGGACTACTTGTATAGATGTAGATTCGAGTATATTAAACGAAATAAAAAATCTATCTAAGATATTTTATAAACATTTAGTACACACTAATGATTAACTAAGATTGTAATAATGCATGTATAATCCACATTAGATAGAATGAAATTGTTTAAAAAAATTTAATAATGTCCTTTATAGAAGATGAAAAAAAATTTATATGTTATGCAATTATTTTTACGACTGCAATTGATTTTAGTTTTAATATTTTGATAAGTGTTTAGTGACACTAGAGAGCTATTATATTTCGCTGACTTGATACGCGTCGATTAACGACTGGGTATTTCAGTTTCGCAGTGTTTAACATGTGTGTAACCTGATGGTGGGTGTGACAGGCCCGGAGTAGCCCGGCCGCGCCGCGATGTATAAGTATTACATAAATAAGTCATATCGTACAAGTTCCCTAGCAGTAACACTACCCGACACACGCCGCGCGGCCCGCTCAGTGGACGCTACGGACGCACGACGCTCGCAAACTATATTCCTTACTATATAATTATAATTATATATTATAAGATGCATCACTTTTACTATATCTGCTATATATTCACAACAATCTTTATTAGATATTGAACGCTTTTTTCGACAAAGTTATCGAACTCTATTTAGAAGTATTACGATGTTATTACTAATTGTAACTTTGATGTAGCGTGTTTTTATAGAGCTTTTGGTGTCATGCAACCGCCAGTATCGACGGGTAATGTGCTTATGTGTCTGTTTATCCTATAAATTAATACGATATCGTCCTACTCGGGACTTTTTTAACAAATTTGTAGATTATCATTAACGAAGTATATCGTCGTCTGCCTCCCGTAGCGTACACTAAGTACATTTTTTTAATTTTATTATTACTATTTGGTTTATCATTTTATTTAGTATTAAGTGTTTAATTTATAAATATCCACCATTTAATCGCAAGATACTATACACCACTGCATTATTTTAAAATTCATATTAAACATGTGTTATATGACAAGACTACTATGTAATATTATTAGTTTAACATAAAGTTAGTAGGCATTAGTTTTGCTGCCCGACAATAATGATTATGTTTAGTTTCGTATTTCTAACGGTTGTAGTTATAACTATGTTACTTTATTTTGTTTTATCGTCAACTGGTTAGTTGATATCGGGCACCGTAGTGAATACGTCAATATTTATATGTTGAAATACTATTTAACTATTAAAACTCCTAATCAATTATCTAAGGATATTCCGTTTTCCAATGTATATTTCTTCTTAGTGTTTCGTCGAATTCTCAAACGTATTCCGTAAGTGACACGCGATGATTGTCACTTGTGTGTGTACCCCGGTACAGGATTACCGTTTGAGAATCCGGGGGTAATTGTATCACAGAATGTTTTCACAATAGACGAGGAAATGTGTCTTTTTCATGTCCTTTGTAACGGACATTCTGCCAGACTTACTCAGTACGACGCCCGACGTTACGCCGACCTGCGACTGCCCGCTCCTTGGAAGCGACGAGGCGACTATTGTTTCTATGTTTATATTTTCATTAATCACTCAAATCTAATCAATTTTTGTATATTTCTTTGTATGTGCAATAATATGAGATTTTATTATGATGAATAAATTAATCGGATGCAATAATATGTAAAATGAATGTAAATTATTTTCAATTTTATGTGAGAATCAGTTTATTTTTATACAATTAAGTGTTGAAAACACTAGTATTCTGTTCGAGCAACAGTTTGCGTATGATGTGAATAGTGTTGTATAGTGGAGTCTGGGGTCTGGGGTCTGGGGTCGGTAAGGGCCGGCCAGTCGCCGCGGTCGGCGGTAGGAAGCGAGATTGCCCCCTCTGGCGAGGCTTTAGTCAATGATCTCTGTTGAAACGTGCACATATTATAACTATTACCCCTACGTATCGCTATGTGGCACGGCGTTAGTTCGTCTCAATCTTTTGTTTTAGTGATTTTATTATTTCTAAGCTTTTATTGGAGTTTTGGGGTTTATTTTTAAGCGTATTAACATAATGGAATGTTAACACATTTTCTATAATAATTTTGTCCTAGTTCATATTATATACGTTATACGTCTGCTTACGGTATCGTTTGAAATTGCCTTATTATGTTTTAGTGTGTATATGGGGCATGTTGTCGCGGCGCAATCGACCCATAGTATCGCATACAGGCCGGCTGCATGGCTGGCCACTGTCTGACTGTCCACTGACGTGCTGTCGGTGCAGTAGCGAGCGATGCACTCGACTCACGAGATATCTGAATGACGGCTGTACGTCGACGTGATTCTGTGATTATTACTCATATTATTATTAGTTCGAAAACTGTAAATGTGGGTTGTTGCAATAAGAAAATTCTTTTTGTGTGTATAAAATTGCATTTTGCGAAGCAGCTGTATGAAATGCCCCGTGTATATGTATATTAGTTTAGTTGTGTATGGTTTCACCAAAACACGATACCGATTATATTTATAGAGGAAATTAACACGAAACAAGTCGCGATTAGCAAATTCGAGTGTCGACAATAATTTATTGTTCTAATGGTAACAATTAATGTACAAAATACTCCGAGTAAGTTGTCAATAGCCCGCACATATGTTGTAAGTAGACAGATTGTTCCGCTGTGATGCAGTGTAGCGGTGAAACTGTAATGGTAGGCTTACGTTTGGTTTAATTCGTGTAACTTGTAACTACGTACCGGCAGGTACTGGCCGAGAACTAACTCTACAATATTGGGTATTTTATGTTTTAATTTAGCTTATAGGGGCTTGTGTAAACAAGTTGAAACTATTAACATGTTTTAAAATTCGATATGTGGGTGATCAGGGGATATAGCACAGATGTTGCTTAAGTTTCTCTTCAATAATAATCAAATAGTTTATTATTAGATGAAAAATTGTAAATAAACATCCAAATATCCCTTTTTTATTTTATTTTTATTTTTTCCTTTTACCTTATTTTCCTTTGTTTTGATTTTTTATTATTTTGGCGTATATGGGCCTGTCTTCGTGCATCGCAACTAGTATACTCGTGCGCCGGCGCCGCCTCAACCGCACCGCGCAACGTTTTAAGATAATTGTAATCGTAATAAATATATTAGTGTATCGACATCGCTATACATTGTTCCGTGTAGTATGCGCGTGCGCCCGTGAGGCGACGGTGGCGCGCTCTGTAGTCAATAGCGTGGCGAAAAACGCCTGAGCTGCTGTCTCGACAATAACCCAGTGTCAGACAATAATCATTCTTATAATTTGCCAATTAGTAGACAGTTTTGTTTGGCCCCTTATTAGTGACCATAGTATCTACGTGTGTACGATGTGTAGACCTGTAGAGAGTAGCGTGTGGCGAGTAGTGGAGCGTCACACGGACAGACCGACAGTCTTTCCTAGCATATCTTATTATGAATAGTTAAGTGTATTGATGTGCGCAGTAGATACATCTTTATATTAACTGGCGAGGCGAGTCACCTGACGATATATTTGTAGCAAACTGTCGCAGGGTTATATCGTGACGACTACGTTACATAGAATAAATACTCTTTTTATATGAAGTGATCTTATCACCCATTTTCTACAGCTAGCACTTATTTATAAATTATAACAAAAATTTAATATCTTCGATAAATGTATTCCTTATTATTATAATATTGAACATTTGAACTATATATTATTATTATATACATATTATAAAATATTCCTCTTAGGAAGTAATGTGCCCAGTATTGAATGGATGTTTGCGTTATTTTTTTAATATTCTTAACACGATTCTAGTGTGTATTATTACAAACTTCCTTGTTCGTAAATAACAAAGTAATATTTCAATTTATTCGTTAAATAAATGTTTTACACATAATGTAATGTATAATAGATTTTTCCAAATGGACTGACTGTTAACCGTTTAGATTATATTGTATCGTTACTCGTGCTTAGTCCGCAATTTGTATCGATGGTAGTAGTGCACAATGCTACGTGTAAGTAACTTCAATGGAGTCTACTGTTATTACGATTTAATGTTTCGATGTTGAGCACCGCGTTGTAAGTAGCTAGCAGTGACGCAGCGACACAGCGCACTCCGCGGCGGCTCGGGGTGCAGTGGGAACAACTCGCTATTTGTATTTGGCATAACGTAAGATTATATAAACTCTAATTTAACAAGTCTGACGTCACAAGTTTGTTGTTACTAGATATAGTTATGCTGCTGGTTAGGCTCTACTCTATAGAATTAACTTTTGTATATTCATTCTATATCTACCTACTAGGTAAACTATATGTGTGATAATAACAATAAGCTTTCAACTAGATGGAGTACAATGAATTCTAATGACTAACTCATAGGCCAATGTTTATAAACATTATTTTTACACTGTCTATTAAAATGAATGTGATTTTGTCTGTAGTGAGTAAAGTTTTAGATATTGCAGTCCAGCGCCCTGTCAGCGTCCCGTACGCTTAGTCACGACTCCTCCAGTTACCGAGTAACGGTTTTACTTTAATGCTTAGGTGTATGGTGTTAAGTCAATTGTACAAGATGTCACTACGATCAGCTTCAGGAACAGTAGTGGGTGTTGTAGTGCACCGGATACCAAATGTTTTGCCGTCCAATGATTACAGTACCTTCGCGAGTACATGCCGACAGCTGGACTGTTCTTCGATGTATTTCGTTAACTATAATCGCATATTTCGACACCAAACCGACTAATTATTATTATAGATGTCTAAATATTTTATATTTATCTAGAGCTTATAGAGTGTTTAGGGCTGTAGTAGGAAACGGAGGCAGCGGCTGGCGAGTTGCGGAGTCAGCGGCGCGCCGGCCGCTGCTCGCTCGAGAATATCAGGGATGTATAGTGGGTAGCGACAGCTTTTTAACTTAGAAAAACTTTATCAAAGATTTATACAAGCTATGGGTGTAGTGTCTGCGTAGACTAGGTGTATGTCTGCATTGTATCTGTGATCGACTCGATGACAACGAAGGCTGACCAAAACGTGTTAAACAGAAGCAAACAAATTGTTAATGTAGCATTCGTACCTCAGCTAAATGTACCTGAACTTAACACAATTAAATATTTGGAATTTGTAGCTTAGTTAATTTTTATTGTGCAGTCGGAGAGAGGCCGGTAATGGCCGACAGTGGCGCGCGCACGGAACATTCACGTTGATTGACTGAGTGTAAACTAATTATGCATGTAAAGCATCCGTTTTTAGCAGTAGCTTATTGTTGTTAGAATAATTTTGTTGTGTATTCGAGATTTTTATTGATGTGCTGTAGTGTTCACTTGAATCGTAGCTATTAGTGTAAGGCAAGCGTTAGACAATCCCGTGGCGGTGTCCGTTGTCGTCGAGCTCACAATTCGATATCTTAGATGACGTCATTTTCTAGATTTAATATTATTGTTTTGATGTCCAAATTTATTCGAGATTAACTGTCTTCTTATACTACATTTCATTATAATTAAATGTTAAATGTATGTCCAGCAAATACATATTGGGTGTGTCGATGTTAGATGCGTGTTATTGTTACGACCTAACACCTATTTTATGCTAGAGTATAGTTTCAGTAACGTAGGATTATGACCAAATTAGAAACGTAACTTTAATATATCCTAAAACACAAATATAGATGATACCTTATATTGTAATGCTACTGATTATCCCGCGGCGGGGGGACAATAAAGTACAAATTTATCACTAAGCCCGGACCGCCGCGGCGGCTTCAACTCTTTCCTTGTAAACTTCGTGTTCTACAAGAGAAAGAAGTTGCATTTATTGTTTAAATATCTAATATCTATTTCAAAAATTAAATGAATGTTGTCGTAGTTTACTCGTATTATCCATTATTTCATTTCTTAACGATTATAAAATCCTTGTACGTACGTTTTTTTCTTATGATAATCTAAATCCGACGTAATTTATAATCACATTACGTGTCTAGATTTGTGGTAGTTTAGCTGAATATCGACGACAGGATCACCTTTTCGAATTAACAAAAAATTGTATTTTATAACAATTGATGTGCCTAAGTGTAATACTCTATTATTGTAATTGTATATATTAATGAATAGTTAACAAAGTCTCAGGACCGCGTCGCATGGTGCTTGCACACTGTGCAGGTATTGTTCAAAATTAACCAACCATTGTATTTCGTGTTTATGGAAACGCAGCACAACTCCAAAAAAACGTATAATGAGACAATAATTATGTTGCATTGATGTCTATGAAAGCACTTTTTGATTAAACTAAATTGATGTGAAACTTTAAACTTGCAATGTTTAATTGTCGCTTGAATTTATATTGTAATTCCACTTTTACTGTGCGAATCTCCGTATATTTGTCACGAATCAAAATAGTTATTGTACTGACTAGCGAGTAATTTTCTATCGGTAGATTTTTCTTTTCTCGTCACTAACAAAATATTGTGAACACTTTAATTGTTGTGGTACACTAGATAATAGTCGTTGAAGATTTTATAGCACGCCAAGACGACCTCTTTGCATTTATTCAGATTAATCACTGTTTCATTGGGTATTACAAAATTGTATTTATTATACTAGATTTATAACATTTTATGGTAGCGTCGATATTGTAACGGCGTTTGATGTACTAATTGGTAAAGTGTATCTTTGTGTAAAATCATCCATACTCGCCGTGTACACGAATATGATGGGTAATTAATTGGGTAGTGTTGTAGACTTGATTGTGATATCAATAAACATTTTCATACGAGCATCAAACTTGGTGTTTTATTTAACCCCGTGAAACCTGAACTCAGTAACTTTTACTCTCAGTTCTCAAGCAGAAAGGCGCCGTTATTAAGTGATTTAGCAATACGTCTATTGGAAACAATGATGTACTATATTATCGGCTGTAGTGTTTTGTAGACAAAATATTGATGTTTTTGTAATATCTCTCCCACAGTGGTAAATTATTAATTTATTACTCAGTTAAGATTCTATATACTATCATAACTTTCTAGGTTAATTGAGTACTTATAATAAAAGTATAAATCAATATCATGCCTATTAATTACTACCTATTAAATGGGATAGAGAAAAGTCTAGTTGATTGCATACAGTTCAGTTATGAACGAATGTACAAAGTCTTGGATTCGAACCTCGGGTAATGCATATACTAAGTTTTCAAGTAGATTAGATACATCATCCTCGAAAATTATTATTAGGTACCCGTCTAAATAGGTTTAAGATTTTACAAAAAAAACCATTCCTGGCCCAAGCCGATTCCAAATGGGCCTAATCTGAATGATAGTCGCGGAGAAACTAACGGGTAACCGGGGCTCCGGCTCGAAAGGCAGGAGAAGGAACGGGGTGGTTTTTAGTCAGTAAGAGTCAGACACTCCCTCCCGCCTCACCCAGGCGGGAGCAGACACTCGATGAATTTCCCCCCTTAAAAAAAAGGTTGAATGATTCCCGAGGATGTTAAATTTTAGCTAGAAAACGTCCTAGTTACATCTACAACAGCTGCATCTAATTGGTTGACATACATCTTCATACATACCTACGTTTTAAATCTCATCATTCGACACTAATAGGAAAGGTCCGGTGTTGCTCAATACACAGCAATACTTACGCTAGTCAAGCATGGGTCACTTTCGTGAGTCCATTCATTAACCCCTGGGTCACTGGTCACTCTGCCGCGTGATGATCAGTCCAAGACTTTTTTACTGCGTTCTCACCATGAGCGCTGTCAAGATTACTTTCAGGGAGACATGTCTATTATAGAAGTTATCTACTGATGCCCATTTTCACCAACTTTTCCTAAGAAACGCCTAAACTAAGATAGGTGTCATTCATTAACGACACTTGTTTTCACTAACATAGGTATTATAATATTAGTGCCAGGCCAGTGTCGAAAATGGTCATTTGAATCTTGTAGTTAATTAGTTGTGAGGAATCTGTAATTGTTGCGCACATT